ATCTGGCTTCAATCAGCCACCTCTGCCCATGCTGCAAGAAGTGACACTAACTCAGAATGGACCCAGCAGCATTCACTGAGCGAAAGTCGGAGCAGTCTGTCATCTTTTACAGCGTTTGGTTTCTGTCCCTGCAGGCCTGAAGTCTTTCACATGCATCTACTTGTTTCGAATCAGTTTCTACTCAGCTTTGTGCTGCCCTAAGTGGAGGTTCTAAACTTTTTTAAAATTAAAATCTTTGCTGTATTTTGAAAATAATTGTAGCTGCTTTATAGAACAACAGTTTATGATTTGTATTGTTTATCTTTTGTTAGATATTTCCTTTGTTCTGTGCAGGACTTGTGAATGTGACATTTGAACCAGTTAAAGGGGGATCTACCCTGCTGTTCCCTCCCGTTTCACTGATATTTTACTGCATTTCCTGTGTGGCTGTATGCGTGGTAACATATTTTCTACCCATGCTTCAGTTTTCTGTCCTTCAGGGTTAAACTCTGCATACAGCTGCTGAATTCAGAACCCTCAGAACCTCCAACAGCTGTGCAAACATCTGCATCGTTCAGCAGCTGCAGCTTCAGGTCCCTGGACATGTCATTTTTGATACTCTTACACCTACAGCCATCAAACTCTGATCCTTAAAATCTTTTTCTTTTGTTATGATTCAGGTTTCTGGCTTTTAAATTGATCATTTCACTGTTGTTCTCATAAAACTTGGTTTGCACTCAGGTGTCACCAGTCAGCCAGATATCAGTTAAACCAAATGTCAAAGAGCTGGACCAGACAGTCCAATAAATTTACCGACACTTTAAAAGACTGCTGAGGCTGTTTTTACTAGACAGGCGGACGTTCCCAAAACCCACATGAAGCAAAGACAGAAAACAGGTTCAGTTAAGCTGAGTTAAGCTCTCGTTGGTTCAGTATGAGGATCTCATGACCCCCTGTTGAGATCTATTATTAATTTTTGCTGCATTCTACTGTTTCCTTGCAACCTGGTAACAAATATGGTGTGTCCCAGTGCTGGTGCACAGGCCAGTGATTTGGAACAATAAGGAAGTTTGAGGTTCTGATGTTGGCCTTAAAACAATATTGAGGTGTCCATATGTACACGAGAACAGCTTTTAATTCTGTCACACTGACCCTGAACACAAGAGCACTGGTAGAAATGAGGGTCAAACACACAGGCCTCGTTCTGTGCAAACATCCACTCCAAAGTTCATCTGAGGTTCAAATGCAGCTTCAGTGTCCAACTAAGCTCATTTGAGTCAGTCTCTTTCAGTCACAGTCTAGTTAGGACAAATTTCCCTCTTTTGTTTCTCACCATCAGACGAAGTCAAGAGTAGGAGAACATACTGGAGACCTGTTCTCATGTACATATATAGACACATCAACATTGTTTTCAGATCAAGTTGTATATATATAGATACATCAACATTGTTTTCAGATCAAGTTGAAACATTCAACATTCAACATATCCTTTCAGTAAGAAACCAGGCGTGAGCATGTGACACCTACCAGCCCATCACAGTTGCTGATGGCAATGGATGTGTCCTCCATGTTGGACACCTCTCCTGTGTAGAAGCAGCCGGCGTCTCCTATTGGCTGTGAGTGAAGCTGTCCTGACTCCTCCCACTCCATGGTAGCGCTGGGGGAGATGAGACGAGAGTTCGGACGCAGTCGCAGGTGGAGCTCCTGACCAAACACGGTCACATTATAGAAAAGCTCCCTCTCCTCGGCCCTATGACCTTGCCCCCTCCAGCTGTGATCTGCCTGGTTGAATGGTGACGCATCTGTGGGCGTGTCTGTCTGAGTCTGTTTTTTGTGTCCCGGATTGTTCTTATCAGAGGGCGTGTCCTTGGTCGCGTGGGCGTGTCTTTTTGGGCGGTGGTGGGCGGAGACTGACGCTGACATAAAACGTCCCAGTGAGTCGGTCCTGATTGGACGAACGAGTCTGAACTCTGACAGAATCTGATGGAGAGAATCTGAGAGAGACAAAGATGATGAAATTTCAGTCTGACTTTTTTTTTACACTTCCATCATGGTGTTCAGGTAGTAAAGGAAATTAAAGGAACAGTTCCACATTTTGGGACAAACTCTTGGACAGTTCTGAATCCTGTGGTACTGTGAACAGCATTGTCAGCAGAGCAGAGGGAGAGATGGGAACGTTCTGCAGCTTAAACAAACCTCCAGATTGGGAGGACGTGTTTGGCAGGGACAGCGCACGTCTAAGGAATGGCTGAAGGTTCAGGTTAGGAAGCAGGGGATACTTTACATTTTTTACATGTTATATATAAGGAGGGAAACAGGCTGCTGCTCCTGTCTGATACCACACACACACACATACACACAGGAAATGATCAAATAGGATCTGAATCCTTCACATTCCTCAAATACCACGGACACACAAAAATTTATGGGAAAAGCGTGGTAGGAACATTCCTCCGAGTGAGAGTCAGAAACCAGACAGGAATGTTCCCGCATAACTGGGAACACTGGGAATACTGGGAACACTGGGAGACTGTCAGCTGCTGAAACTGAGCCTGACCTTCACTGCAGAGGTCACAGCCTAGAGGACTAAACAACCACAGAAGAAGAAGAAAGCAGGCAGCAGGTGTACTACTCTTACTGCTACAAACACCAGGAAGTACTATGATTAGAAGAAAAACATGTATTATACACGCTAATAACTGCAGTAGCAGTAGCACTCACAGGAGGAATACTAACCATTAATAGCTGAAGTACAGTACTCAAGCCTTAGGATCAGTATTAATAGTAGCATGAGCAGTACTAGTCAGTGCAGCTGTAGCAGTATTAACAGGATCATATAAATCAACCAGTGTAAATTACAGGCAGAGCCATGTCAGGTCACATGTCCATCCTCCTCAGGTCAATGGTCACACAGAACCCACTTCCTGTCCTCAGATTGACTGTGGCTCCGATAAAATAGACATATATATGTGTATATACACTCACGGCCACTTTATTAGGTACACCTGTACAGCTGTAAGTACCTCAGTGCAACACTTCCGCCTTAATATCTGTGTTTATGAAGCTCAACATGTTTCAGTTTTTCAGTGAAATTGTCATAAGTGTATAAACTCAATTATATGTTTATTACTGAGGTCATAGTTAAAGGTGGTGTACTGGACTACACTACTGTATATTCAGAAGTGTCTCTATATTTTTGTCTTCCCCAGCTACATATGAGAAGGTCAGAATAGTAGGAACATCTCTGAATATAATGTATATAACTCAGTTTATACATTTATGACAATTTCACCAAAAACTGAAACATGTTGAGCTTCATAAACACAGAAGTTAAGGCGGAAGTGTTGCATTGAATGGCATACAATGGCGCTGGTGTGCCTAATAAAGTGGCTGGTGGGTGTATATGTCTGTGCTCGGACACTGTGGTAACAGTACTGCAGTTATTAGCAGTAGTACCGTTAACATTAACAGCAGCAGTAGTTATAACGGTAGCAGCAGTCGTACTGACAGTGGTAACAGTAATACAGCTGTGACTCACCTGTGTCGTCAGTGATGTAAAGTGAATGTAAACAGTTGATCTGCAGCAGAAACAGAATGATCAATGATCCATAATGACACCGGTCCATCCTGAGAGTGAGACAGGCTGAGAGACAGACAGAGACTGAGTGAGAGCTGCTGCACAGACTGAACGCTTGAACAGACTCTCCTCCACTGTCTCATTATCTCCTCCCTCTGCCTCTGCCTGTCTCTGTCCGTCTCTCCGCCCCCACACTCGTCTGTCTGTCTGCCTGCACTAACTGTAACACTGCTCTCTGTAATACTTCAGCTGTGTTTTCTCTACCAGTGACTCCAGATGAACTCCCTGGTTTCCTGCACTTTCACGCACACATTTGTCTTTCTATAGCTGTTAGGACACTCAGTGACATAATGCAGCCCCTTGCCCTTTACTGTAACCATAGGCTGAACCTAATTCTAACCTCAGTGCTAAAACCAAGTCCTCAAAAAAGTGTTTCACAAAGTGAGGACCAGCCAAAATGTCCTCACTTTGTAGTGAAAAAACTTTTGGTCCTCACTAAATGGCAAGTACAAGAACACACACATGCACTGTACAGTTGTAATATCAGTTGTCATCCACTAGATGGAGCCGATGCTAAACTGCTCCTTTGTTTCTGTTGCACACCAGTCTACCCAGTGTCCTCTGGCTGAGCTTACCTGCACAGTACTGTCACAGTAAAAGTAGTAGCAATCGCAGTAGTAGCACCAACAGGCATTTCAATATTGCTCCATCCATCCAGTATCTATACCACTTATTCTGAATAGGGTTGAGGGGGGCTGGAGCTGATCTCAGCTGACACTGGGTGAGAGGCAGGGTCCATCCTGGTCAGGTCGCCGGTCTGTCACAGGGCTGACATGTAGGCAAACAACCACACACTCACACTCACTCCTACGGGCAATTTATAGTCGCCAGTCAACCTAAGCTGCGTGTCTTTGGCCTGTGGGAGGAAGCTGGAGTACCCGGAGAGAACCCACACAGACACAGGAAGAACATGCAGACTCCACACAAAAGTTGCTGTAAGGTAACAGCACTAACCACTGCACCACCATGCCGCCTAATATTACTCTTACTTACTTATTTACTTACTTGTTCCTATATCTTCATGTCCTCAGTCAACCGGGGACCAAGGACATTGCAAGTCTCTCATATCAGCTCTGAGGAGTGAGGAGGTTGCTGGAGAAGCTGTGACCAAGGATAAATGAGACCACCCTTCACACAAGTCTTTTATGAACTATCACGCCACTTTATCAGAAATCAGGTGGTGATTGGAGGCTCCAGATGAAGGATCACAGGAAAAGACACAAAGAAAATTAATGTTTATAAGAGACCCCATGTCTTCAAAGTGGGTACATCCCATCCCAGAGCTGCCATTTTAATCCAGTGGAGCTGCAAAAAAAATGTGACATTACTGCACATTTAACTTTAAACATAGCAACGGCAGCATTAGGTGAGAAAGAAACAGTATTTCGATTTTCTGTATGTCCTGCACGTATAGTAAATTGACAATAAAAAAAATCTTTGATCTGATCTTGATATGTTAACATTGTTACATTTCATTCAGCACAGTGCACAGAGTGGATCTCTGTATTGGATGGTAATGTGCCAAAGGCCTTCTGTTTGTTACATTAAATTCAGCTGTAAGCTGAACAACGAACTGCTGGTGGCAGCTGGAGATGACACCACACAGATAGGACAGAGGTTTATTTACAGACCTCTAACTGTAGCCTCAGTCTGACCCGATGATGAGTTTGGGGATTTGCAGGTGGAAAAGTTGTTAAATGCTGTTAAAAAGATTAAAAGAATATTCATAAACTAGACTCTTTTAAACTCTGTAAACTCTGACTCACATTTAGAAATATTCAGTCTCCAAAATGATCACTAAGACTGCTCAAAGTGTGACTGATAAGAACACAAAAAATGATAAGTCATAGAGTGCCACGTGTGGCTAAAGCTTCACTTTTATTTTAATTAATAGGATTTCAAAAATACTTCATGTCCACAGAGTCACAGTGTTAGAAGAAGGATAAACAGCCCGCAGAGATTTTGTTCTGAGCTGAGGATGAATCCTCGCTGTCTAATAGGCCGACGGCATTTAGCCACAGGGCTACTGTCTTCACACCGACGATCATAAAAGCACTCACATTAGTAAAGACAGGTCTTGGGAAACAAACTATCGGGCTACTATCTAATCTGGACTTTTATCCTCTTCTCCCAGTGTAAACTTCTGAAAGTTAGAACAAGGTTTACTCTGCACATGAATATGAGCTGTGTGAATGAAGAAGTGAAGCAGCTGACACAGCTTCTTCAGACTGGGTTTAGCTGAAGAGTACCTGCCAGCGAGCAGGTTAGATACACAGAATAAGATACCATGGCGACGGAGTCAGAATTAATCTGGGGTTTCCCTGATTTCACCTTGAACAAACTCTGGATTTTCACTTAACCTGCTTCCTGGAATGTCCCCCAGCTGTGAGAGCTTCCCACCGGACTGCTGGAAGTTAGACCTTTTTAAAGGACAGGAAGCTGTGATTGGCCCAGCCAGCTGCAGACACCTGTCCCAAATCATGCCCAGAGATCCACCCAGAGACCCACTCGCGCTCACAAGCAGTCACACCAAACAGATGACACACCGGACTCACAGACTGGAGCTTATGTGAAACCAAATATCTCCTGTTCAGGTGGTCACTTCACTGCTTGACCTGCTGCACTGCCGTTCATAAACATCCCCCATCCAGTAATGTCCTCCATCATCTGACATTTATGAACTAAACTCACCTCTGGTTCAGTGAGAGTTATACAAGATGACACAGAGAAAGCCATGCAGTTAAGTTTAGACATTTAGACCTATGCACCTGCATGCACGTACACAACGGAGGTTGTCTGATGTGAATGAGTAATGTTAAAGATAAAGCAGCTCTGAGATGTTGTTTGAGGCTTTATTTGGTTTCACAGAGCAAACTGAAACACTGTGGTCTGGAGGTTGGGTAACGGTCTCATTTCCTACTTTGTCTCTCTGCTCAAGTTTGTGTCACACCATTTACATTTTTGTCATCTTTTGAATTTTAATTGTCGAACTTTAGCTGATGTTTACCCGTCATTATCTTTCCATCTGAATCGACATCACTGAGACAGGTAGGACCAAACACCCTATACACCTGTATCTGTGTTAGTCTGCTCAGGATCCAGACCCAGGTTCTGGAGTCAGACAAGGATCAGGTTGAGTAGACGGTCTGTGTAAGGTGTAAATGTGCAGAGGTGCACAATACGTACATTGAGTTAAGGCTCCATGTGAAGGACCAGCCTGAAACACAGGTGAATCCTCTCTAACCCTGTTTTTGAGAAATGGTTGTAGTCAGAGGACCCAAGTCCAAGACCGTTGGATCTCCCGAGTTCTGCATGTGGTCGGGGAGGGCTGGTGTGTATCTGTCAATGTGTTGATAAAAAAAAAAGATAGTAATAGTAAAAATCCATGTGCATTATGTTTCTCTGAAAACATAGCAGAAGAATACAGAAAACCTAATGTCTAGGAGTCGATCCTGTCGTTCTTGGAGTGTTGCGTTTCTGCCTCCTCAGTCCAGCTGCTCACTGAAACACCAAATATGGTTTTCATTTTATTCCTCAGCAGGACAAACAGCCAAGCAGTTAGACACATTTATCAATCAGTCAGTAACAGTAACACAATGATTACAGCAGAAAAACAACAACAGGAACAAGTTACAAAAAACTGTCTCTCTACCAGGGGTGTCAAACTCAATGGCACAGGGGGCCAAAACTCAAAGCACACTTTAGGTCGTGGGCCGAACAGGATAAAAATTTATTGAACAGAATAAAACTAAACATTTTTTGAACATAAATATGAATCGAAAAAAACAGGATACAATATTATTCCAAAATAAATCAACTTGAACTTAAAATCACCAACCATATTTCTGCTAAGCCTTACATTTGCTAAAACCTGCTTTTTGTCTGGACACAAGACGTCACACACTTTCATCATTTTTTTCATTCACGTTTTTCAGCTTGTCCTGATGTTTTGTCTCGTAGTGCCGTCTTAGGTTATATTCCTTAATTACAGCCACATTAGCTCCACAAATAAGACACACGGGTTTACCGACAATGTCAGTAAACATATACTCAGCCTCCCAACGGTTTTTCTAGGCTCTGTTTTCAGAATCAACTTTTCACATTAATTTGCATTTTCATGAATGAAATAAGTATTTGATCCCTTTGCAAAACGTGCTTTAGTACTAGGCAACTGTTGCGCTGCATTATGCGATTGTGTTATTGGCGCTTCATATCGTCAGCCATTAAAAAAGTATATATAAAATGATCTCGCGGGGCGGATGTGGCCTGCGGGCTTTGAGTTTGACACATGTGCTCTATGCAGTCTGTATGAACATTTACATTTACAATACTTATTCAAAAGGCTAGCAAAATAATGCCCATAATATAGCACTAAGATGAGAGATCATCGTTTTAGTTTCAGAAGAAAACACCTGTATTTAAATTGTTAAGACAAGAGAATATCTCTAATGTGATGTGTGAATTTATGCTGGATGTACAGAAGAGGATCTGAAATACAATAATGGTTAAAGCAGGAACTGTGTCCTGGCTACTGTCCCAAGCGCTAACAGTACAAAGTGTAGAAGGTATTTATGGGTAACGCCTGAAGGTGACCTATACATGTGAAGAGAACACAGTGATGAGTGTGGGTGAAAGCTTCAGGTGAACGCTATCAGCCCTCTTGGTTCACCGGGTTCTCTGCTGGGAGACACCAAAGTGGGACAGAAACAGAAAAACCTGATCTAATGTGACTGCTCACAGACCAGACAGGTAAACACAGGTGTCCAGGTAAACACTAAGGTGTTCAAGCAAGGATCTGATTGGCCAGTGCATGTCAACACAGTACTGCAGCAGCTTTCCAGTCAGACAGAGGAGGTTATGAACAGTGACTCAAACGAACAAACACCTCTGACCTCTGAAAGTGTGTTTCCACTTCACAGTGATTGACGGATGATGGGGCGGAGCCAACAGGGTCCACTTCAGATGGCAGCCATGTTGGTTTTGGTCCAGCTGCTGGTGATGATGATGATGAGGAAGTGTGAGTCTATTTGGCCTGAGGTTTATTTTAGAAGCACTGACGTGTGACAGGTTGTTTCAGGTTCCTCATGTTTGACGCCACAGACCAGCAGCTCTGTCAGAACAGACCCAAGTCTAAGTTAAAACGCCTGGTCAAACGTTCAGCTGGCACAGCAGCACAGACTACAGACTACAGACTACAGTTAAATGGTAAAATGAGAGTTTGAAAATAGGAACCATACAGATGATTAAATTACAAGGCAATAAAGAACCAGCAGTGTCTGAGGTGATGCACTGATGTGTCAGTACAGTACAGTACACTATAGGTAAGAGTACATTAATACCATTTAGTCTAACAGCACACACCGGAATTATATCATATAATTAATCAGTGTTTCCTAATAATGTACTAACGTAACACAATATAAAATATTTGAAGAGTACAGAAGGTGAAATGCACTATTAAAGTTTCATATGTACTAACCTAGTACAGCATGTTGTACAGTAAAGTACAACAATAATGTACCGAAGAGTAAAAACTCAATTTGTTGAAACCTGATCAAACATACACGTGTCTCACTGGCCTTTAAAGACGAGGCTGCAGTCACATGTTTGCTGACTGTTTTTTGGCCCTTTATTATTGGGGCGCCTGGTTCACAGGTGAAGTAGTGACAGCTGTCTCTGTGTGACCTTTGACTCCAGCTGCCGCCGCAGAGGTGGTCCACTCACTGTCTGCACAAAGCGGTGAGACCGTCCTGCTGACCTCAGACTGGCTGAAGGGGAGAATGGAGAACAGGGGGGACATCAGGTGGACTCACCCCCGCCTGGTACTGTCAACGAAGAACAACTGGACAACGTGTGACCATGGACGCTGCCAGCTGCTGAGCAACGGCTCGCTGACAATCAGCCAAATTCAGTCTGAAGACTCTGGAAAATACAGCCTGGAGGTGTTTGACGAAGAAGGGCAACGGCTGCAGAGAGAGCACTTCCTGCTCAGGGTTAAGGAGGGTGAGGCCACGGCTGAAACATCGACCCTTAAACTGACAATATTAACCCTTAACGTCAGGATAAAGTAGAAATAAATCTGTCCTGAGTTTGTCGCACCACAAGAAAATGTGACATTAACCATCCAGCCAAATGTGAATGATTAAAAAGATTGCCAAGGGTATAAAACCAGCTAACGTTCTTTGCTCTGAAACGTTGTGGATGTGATGGGTAAAGACACTAAAACCACGTTCAGTCCCAGAAATGTGCCGCCTGTTCTCGTCACATATGTTTTAACAACATATAGGTAAGATGCATTTGTGTGGCGAAGGCATCGCTAGCTCGATAGCAACCTGTAGGCTCCAGTAGGCGTAGTAACTCTCGATCAACAAGAGAACTGGTGCTAATGTGCCAGGGCTCTATAGGAGCATTTGAGCAAAGATCACCGAGTCAGATATGGTTTTGGTGGTTGTGGAGCCGCTTCCCCTTTGTGTTGTTGTTTGAACAATAGTAGCGGTACTCAGCTCCTACATGCACACACGGAACAGACGCATTAATATTATTCCTTAAAAAAAACAACAACATACAACTGTGGCTGTAAATCTGTGCTCAGTTTTATGAATGACCCTTAAAACAAATGCAGGCACAGTGATTTATAACGTCACAGTGTCAGGGGGGAAGGGTTATGTTAAGGGTGGGTCCAGTGCGTCATCGAGCCTCGCTTCCTGCCCCCCCAAAAAGATCCTGAACTCAAAAATGATGAACTCCACAATTCAGCAGTATGTAGTTCTCAGTCTTTTCATGTATTCAGCAGCTATCTTCTAACACTGATGATGTTTAGAAACAAATCACCAACTTTGCTTTACCCTGACTTTAACAACTCACTACTGAGTTACATCAACTTATATATTTGCAGTGCACCGCAGACAGCCGTTATCAGATGTGTCTCTGTCTGCAGACAGTCACACAGACAACATGTTGGTGATGACCTGCAGCTTCCTTCTACTGCTTCTGTTGCTGTTCTTCTTTGCTGTCTTCATCCTGAGGAGGAGAAGGAGTCAAAGGATGATCACTGCAGGTACAGCAGCCAATCAGAGACATCCTGAGTGTGCACCCATAGCATATTCATTAGAAGAAGTCAGATTTTAATCTGCCATGCTGTTTCAGGTCCAGTGGAGGAAAATGTCTATGTGATGATGCATGGTCCCCATGGCAACAAGAGAAAATGTGATGAGGAGCAGCATGAGAGAGAGGAAGAGCCCATTTACAGTACGTAACACTCATCATGAAAACTAAGAGACACTAACAGAAGCTAACAAATACTAACATGTTATTGACTCTACAGTTCCCTGTAATGCAGCTGTTTCCATGGAAATGCCAAACACAAAGCAGATGTCAATGGAGGTGGAAGACATCTACGTGTGACGACAAACCAGGGGTCACCATCTTTTCAGCACAGTGTGCCTCACCTGGACAACTCGCCTTTGTTTTTCCGTCTGCTGTCTCTTACTGAGCCTGTTGGGCAGTTTCTATTTCTTTGCATCAGAATCTTACCGTCTGTCAGTGGTTATTACAATTAAATACATACACAAACAGACAGCCTCTGGGTTACTTGTGTCATGAACTAATGTTAATGTTGTGGTAGGAGCAGGGTACTACCTGTTCCTACTATGTGCCTATTCCTGTTGTTGGTGCATCGTTTTAGACACATTTCATCACAAATATTGGCCTCTGGGTCAGGTTGGCTACACAGCGGAGTCTGTACAGAGGAGGCTGCAGCAGAGTGTTTTCCCCAGAGATGTCAGATCCATTCATCTGTTTAGCAGTCATATGAAATAATAACATCAGTGAGATGTGTTAACTTCCACAGTGATGGCTGTTATTAAGAGTCACCTTAGTCTTGGTTTGTTTCTTAAAGATTCAAACAAATCATGTTTAATTACTGGGTCATTTCATGGTTCATACGGCGATTTTATAAAGGTTGTCCTGTGGGCAGCAGAATGTGGTAATAAACAGACAGAAATAAACAAATTAGACGATTTCTAACACCCCCTGGTGTAAATGTGATAGTTCTGTGTATTGATCAGACCAAAGGTCACATGCTTGTCTTTATACCGTGTCAGTGCCTGGTGCAAAGGCAAAGCAGAATCCTGCTCACACTGCGATTCAAACCAGGAACCTGCTGATAAGAGTCACACTGGGCAGCTGATTTCATGCTGACAGGTTTTGGCTCTAAATAATCTACATGTAACCGATTACAACTGAACATGTCACGTTTTACAACTCAGCTCCTGCGAGTTTTGTTGGTGACAGCATTACAACAAACGAAACGACAACGCCTAAAACTCCTCAGTTACTGTGTCAGGAAACACAAGCTGGTGATTTCACATTATTCTAAAGGAGATAAAACGCTTCTCTGTCCGCGTCGACCCTCTGATATCATGACATCTGACAGTCCACACATGTAGATTCTCTCCAACGGCCATGAAGCACCCACAGAAGCAGGTCGGCGAGGGTGCCGTTGCTGCAGAAACAACTTTCACTTTCATTTGGACTAAAACGCAGACTGTAGACAAATGTGGTAGAAAAAAATCATTTCTAGTTTGAGTTAAGACTAAATTAGGGACTTTTTAAAAATCTTGTTCATACACGATTAAAACATGACCCCATCTGGGACTTTAGTGACTCTGTACTAAACGGCGAACATGTCAATAAGAACAAAGTTTGGCCATCAGATAAACAATAAAACAACTACAGGTGAAACAAACAGTGTAAGCAGAACGTTGTCTGATGTCAGAAACATGAATGTGAGAGCTCAGAGCTCCTGTTCCAACAGGAAACATCAGGCCTTCCTCCTCCTCTTCATCATCAGAAGACAGTGACCTGGTACTCCTTCTCCTCTCCTCCCTCAGGGGTCTGCAGAGAAACACACCCCTCAGTGTCTTCATTTATCCCTTTCATTCAGGGAGAGTTAGAACTTCATGAGACAAGACTTTAACGCATCGTTTGTTCAGTTAGTTGGAAATAAATCCACTCATTCACTTTGATCAGTCTGTGATCTTACAGTGTCGTTATGTTTGTTGTTTTATCATGAATAAATTTTTCACTCTTCACGCTGAAGACTATACTCTTACAATCCCACCAGCGTCATGTTGGCGCCTCTCAATGACTCTCACTTAGCTTCATTTAAAAATGAACATTATCGTCATCTGAACGTGACTTCACTGACGGCTTCATCTAAACAGATTCATACTGACTGATTCATACTGATTATTGACTGCAGATGCGTTGCCATGTCAATAGCTGCAGGTTTATGTTAATCCTGCTTCAACAGCAGTCAGAGCCACAAAGACTCAACTAGCTCTTAATATAAACCCTCCAGGTGTGTCACAGGTGTGTCAGGTGTTTACCAGGAACAGCAGAGTGTGGTGGATGATGAACTCTCTGGTGAGTCTGAGTAGATCCTGGCTCATGGTCTGAAACAGGGACGGGACCAGAACCACAGCCAGATTGTGAGCCGACATCTTGTTCACCTGAGAATATACCTGGACCCTGAGAGACAAAGGGCAGGGTCAGTAGACAGGTCAGCCCTGGCACAGGTTAGCTACTTAACCCTAAGCGGTGTGTCGGCTGATAAAACTAGAGTCTGTTCAGGCTTTAGCTGACAGCTGCTGTTACCTGTAACACAGCAGCAGTAGTCTGCGCTGCCTTCATATCCTCAGCCGATGTCTTCTTTCAGTGCTTTTGCTGCAATCTGATGTGTGGACATAGGGACTCTGTCTAACCCCAATACCTAACCCGATGCTGTGACAAGCCACCAATCAAATTCTGAGTGTTTAAGAAAAAGTCCTAAAATTTTCCAATTCACATTTTTATTAGTTTATGTGTATTTGTTATTTATTATGTTTATATCTATACATTTTATTTGTATTGTCTTTTTATTTATTATGACTTTTTCACCATTTTAATCTCTGTGTGCAGTGTCAACTTGTTTTCCTCCTGACATTTGAAGTGTTATCAGTTTGCCTGTAGCTTGTAAAGCCCTTTAAACCACACTAACTTTTACAAAAGGTGCCACACAAATAGTCTCATTGAATGATTTCATGTGCTGTATATTTTATTCCCTTATTTATTAGTTGTGGAGGCAAAGTGCCTTGGTTAAAGGTTATTAACTGCTAAATATATTGATATAGGGCTGCATTTAATATGCAAATACACAATGTGTTTTTCTCTTTGTAGTAGCACTTTTCAGCATGTGTTATACTGTCACACTTGTAAGGATACAGTTGCTTTCTCTAGCTAAATCAGCACATCAGCACTCTTGGTTTGTGCTTGTTCTTGTCCCTGGCTCTTATTTTGGTAGTACGGTGCCTTCGTACAGCTACAGAGTGCGGTGACTATACTTGTGATGCATTTAGAGGTGCTTTAGCGGTCAGAATCTTACAGAAGATTAGACAGCAGATAAGGGAAGTCTTACACAGAATGAAACCTACTGTGCATGACTGTTTTAGACAGTGATCACATCTAGGAGAAGACTTTCATGCTTTACTCCAGGATACTGCAGTATGGTCTCCACACTCTGATGCCGTTTGTATAAAGGGAGTGCGTACTCTTTGTTCTTTGTCATTTCACTATTTGACTTGGTGATGACTTGCTCATTTCTCACCACTTTAATAGTTTTTCCACTACACTAAAAGACATTTGTCCACACTGTTTTGCGTCTGACTGTAGCACTGAATATTCTATTTGTTAAAAATCAGTAGTTTTAAGATTTCTATCCAAAACCTGTCACATTTTTTATATATTTAATCTGAAACATCAGAATGACCAAAAACAGCAATGTGTGTAATGGTACAGTGTTAAATTTACTTCATTAAACCTTATAACCCTACAGATGTCCAGGAGTATGAGGGAGAACATGAGCTCAGTCTCCACAGTCCTGAATGTGTTGTTTACATCAGCTTAGACACCTGGTGGATGCTCACTGGTACGGCAACCACATCACTGAAGCTCCTTTTATGGTAAATGGTCTTATACTTGTACAGTGCTCAACACTCTATGCACTTTCACACTATTTGCTCATTCACCCATTATTTGATATCACCAGGAGCAACTGTGAGTTCAGTGAGTTGCTCAAGGAGAAGCCGGGGATCAAACTGCCACCCTTCCAGTTAGGAGACGACCCGCTCTACCTGCTTGATGCAGGAATTTTTGGTGTTTTCTATCTCGCCCTTCTGTGTTAAAACTATAGCACCAGAATAATGGGTGAAAGTTGATCCTCTGCAGCAAGAGACAGTATCTTTGCTGAGACAAGTTCACCCCATCTCCTGTATAAATGACAGAATCGGGGGTGGAGGTCCGCAAGAGAGAGAGCTAGAGAATGAATTACGAGAGAGGGCAGCATCAGAGAGAACAAAGGGAACACAGGAGCAGCAGCTGGCCTGCTTTCTAAGCACAGTGTCATGGGGCTTAAATCAAGGGGTCAAAATGCTGGCAGGTTTCTGTAATCTCCTTGTAAAAGGGGAAGACGCTTTATTTGATTGTCAGTTACTGTACATCGTGACATGTCCAACAAACTTTTGTTACATGTGTACGTGCCGCCATCACGGGCGACTTGGGAGGGTTCAGTGTCTTGCCCAAGGACACTCTGACACGTGGACTGCATGCACTGAGATTTGAACCCTCAACCATCTGGTTGGAAGACAACTGCTCTACTGACCGCACCACTATTGCCCTCAGGCTTGACTGTGCTACTGTGCTAGTGTGTTATTGTGCACATCATGTGTTAGTATCCATCTTACGTGTAGAAGTGTCCAAACAAGGCACTGAGTGTTGCTCGGTTGTAATCGGGAAGTTGCCGTAGTAACTGTCGGTATGCTTTAAACCTGGAGCCTTCGTCTGAAATCGCTGAGAGACAAAAAGTAATGTTAGTGAGTGCTACTGTAATACTACTGGTGTTTTATTATTGTGACCATTGCTGCTGTGTTTTGGGTATTAAACAGTAGTACTATATATACTTGTACCACAGAGTCTCTGTACTGACCTGCCGCCTGCATCCACTTGTGTATGTTGGGTATTAACCCCTCCTGTTGGCGGATACATTGTTTGAGGGCGGAGCTAGTGTCCAACACACCCTGCTCATCACTTTCCAGGGGGGCGGTGCTGGGTGATATCATCAGAGCCTCCACCAATCGACTGACTTTGGTAGCTAGGCCACAGCGGCGGTACACGCCCTCCACCTGCAGACCTGAAAGAGAAAAATATCTGTGTTCAAAACTACAGCTTTACATCAGTCCCAGGACACTTTGCACATTGTTTCCATTGCAACCAACTGCCTCACAGTGAAGACAACATGGAGGACAGTAACTTGAGAAGAAAATGCCATCCATCCATCCATCCATCCATCCATTTTCTTCCGCTTATCCGGGACCGGGACGCGGGGGCAGCAGTCTAAGCAAAGATGCCCAGACTTCCCTCTCTCCAGACACTTCCTCCAGCTCCTCCGGGGGACTGCCGAGGCGTTCCCAGGCCAGCCGAGAGACATAGTCCCTCCAGCATGTCCTGGGCCTTGCCCGGGGCCTCCTTCCGGTGGGAC